CTACCCCTCTAGCAGGCTTTACTAACACCAAACTGAAGGGTTACAGAAAAAAACTGGGGTTTTTTTGTTTTGTTTTTTCTGTTGTTGGTTTTGGGGTTTTTTTTGCTTCTCAGTGCATACAGCCGAAATATTTAACCATCAATGCTAACTGCAAATAAAATAAAATAGGTTCTCCTCCACACTGTGGAGGTGTCTGGAGCTAGTCCAGTATACCTACAGGACAGCATGTTCATCCACCATTGTTCCTAATAACAAAGCCTGTATTTGCCTTTAGACCCTTAGGTGTTTTAAGTAAACTTGCAACTCATGGAAAGACCAGAGCCTGAACCCATTTGCTGCCAGACATTAACTATAGCCACCTTAAAATAGACATAGCTAGGTCTAATCCTGGAACTGTGTGCTATAATACCCATTATATACAGCTTTGTATACAGAAGGTCTGAAACCAACGCGTATGCCACAGCTTTGTTCCTTGATTGAAAGGTTAACCGACCTTTGGAACAGCCAGTCTGATTTTCTGGGGTGGCTGCGCCTTTTCCAGAAATACTATGCGACCTTTTATTTTTTTCCAGCTCACTCAGGATGTTCACATAAATGAACATATGGTGGTTAACATACTTAGGGACATTAATGAATAAATGCTGCATGTCCAGAGATAAAAATGAGATTCAGATAAGAGTGATTAAAAGAGTTTAAAAGGGCGGAATTTCACTGTGTAACTTGTGGCAGTATTGTGGACACATCAACAAAAGCCATTTAAAGCTTAAGAAATACTTCTGGGGCTCTTCAGTGCAGAGAGATGCACTCATTTTTTCAAAGTGTTTATAAATAACCTCTGTTATAGAAACACAGCCATTACAGCTATTACTTTCCACAGTTTCCACACTCGCATCTTGAGATTAAAACAGAAAAAAAAAAATTACAAACAAACCCCAAACCTATTGCCACTTCACAACAAGTCAGCTTTTTTGCCCTTACACATATTAAGTAGTACCTTACTCCACAAATATTCCCATTTGAGTCAATGGGACAAATTGCTGAGTAAGGTTCTTTTTCTCATTTAAGAATTGCTTTGCAAATTTGTCCAAAATTACAAACTCCATGCCCCTGGGGTGCAATTTTGTATAAAGAATAGAGAAGGTTTTTTACTTCTTTAAACAAAAGAGATATACCAAAATCATGATGCACCAAAATCATAATGCACCATCCACTGATATCAATAAGAAATGGTTTGAAAGAGCTGTGGTCACTCTGTATTTGGTGTAGCTACAAAATATTAATTTGGTGTTAATAACAAAACAGTATTATGTTAGAGAAATGATGCAACACAGCAATTTATATTGTTTCTTTTCAAAAAACACAAACTATATACCTTATTTAAAGTGATAACCTTTAGCTAATGTGATACATTTGAAATGTATTTGGTACAAATGCCTTGCATTTTTCAGTTTTGCAAAATATCTCATCTTATCTGATTTAGAAAATGAAGAAACAAAAAAAAGATTATATCCTTGAAGGATACTAAATGAAAATTTGAATTAAATAAATATGTAATGGAAAAAATAAGCTTTATACCATATTGAAAAGTACATGTAATATGAGCTGCAGTGATATTATATGCTATAATTAAGATTGTAAACTTACTTTCATGTAGCATGTAACATACGGAGTCTATGTTTACAACATTCGATGCTTTCTGTCAATTAAGAAGAAAATCCTGGCTATCTAAAGAAGCAGGATGGCAAATTAGCTGACAAAAGTCATCTATCTCCAGCAGACTGCACTGAAGTGCTAAGGAGTGCCAGTTGCTGGAATCCCACGAGGGGAGAGAGCATCAGCCTTTGCTTGTAGCACAACGTGGCTGCATGTACAGACCTCTCTACTGATATATGCCGTTCATTACAGTGCATTTTGCTGCATTTGTCATTGTAGTGGACTGGAACTATTGAAAATAGAAAAAATAACTACAGTTTGGGAAGTTTTATTTTGGGATCACAGTAAATAAGAGTGGGGACTTTTTATTGCATAGCACACTGGCTTTTTTCCTAGGTGAAATCATATAGAGTACAAGCATCTTATATTGTGTCTGTTTGTTTTATAAGTCTTCTATTTTTCAAAAGTGCCTGTCAGAATGCAAATACAACAGTGCCCAAACTGTGGTTTCCTGACTACTTGTGGCCATTAGACCATAGCCAGGGAACTGCAGCTGGCGTGCAGAACTCTATTGCCTTCTAATCAAAAGCTTGATAAAAAGAGTGTTTGGTGATCCCAAGAAACTTGGGTGCTGACAAAATCCCATTCATCCAAACAGCTTAGGAAACTCTTCTGTAATACAAAATAATATTGACACTTAGACTTATTTTTATATGTACTAGTAGGGATAATATGATACCATGTACCTCTACTCTAATTCGCTTTGCAAATTGTATTTCAATACTGTACAATGAGACTCCAAATACAAGTTTATTCATATTATTCATAGGAATAAGTGAAATAAATATGTATCCAGAACTAGATTTATCAAAAATACTTTCTCATTCCTATGCTTTAGGAATATATACAATTGTTGGCCTGAAAGAAGTCCATTTTGGTCCATTCCTTCCTCTGAGTTAACAGTTGTCAATGTTTTTCTTCCCCTCAATTATTTGCCTTGTTTTTATCTTAAAACAAACAAACAAACAAAAATCTCTAGCTGCTTCTCTTTATGACCTTTGTTATTCATTTGGCAGTTAGTCAAATAAACCTCTTGCCAAATCATTTTGTTCTCATTTTGCCTTGGCTAACATTCAATGCCCTGTCTCTCATTTCTGCTGCTAGTTCAAATGGTTTTAGACCATTATTTCTCTTTCCTCTGTGCAGAGCTTGGTGCACACCAGTGACATTTCCCCTTGCTCTTTTCCCTTACAAAGATGACAGACCCAGTTTATTTAAAGTTTCTACTAGATCTTTCAGTCTCTTTATCTTTTGCTGAGCTCTGCTCCACCTTTTCTATCATGAGCTTCAGATAACAAAGACCAGACTGTGTTGCTCTTCCTTGTGTCCAACGTACATTTCACCAGGAGTGATCACACTGCAGTCAACAAAGATTGCTTATGGAGTAAGGTACTACTCAATTCAAGATTCACAATCTGCCTTGGAGTGATCAGGACTATACACAATATTCCAAGTTCAGAGAGGTAATTTCCTCTGCTTTCAAGTACATCTCTACTTACGTGGCTTATAATGTTATTATTTAGCTTTTGCTTCTGATTAGTTTTATTTGAAAAAAGATATTTTTAACCCACCCATAGCATGCTGGTTTATATTTAGGCCTATTGATGACTCAGTCCCATATGTCAAGCTTCTTAACATTACAAATAAAGCTAGACATAGTGTTAATCTCATTTTAGTAAGCACCTCAAGTCCCCTTACCTCCACATTGGCATAATAGGGAGCAGCGGTTCTGCTCCTATTGCAGTCAACTTTGAGACTTCATATAAATGCCATACAAAGAAGGACAGATCTAACAATTGTGCCTACAAATGCCCTATTTTACTTTTTTTAGCATATGTTTTTTATTTACTCTTTTCCAATCAATTAGTGTCTCTTTGTTCATGAGATTATTAAAAATTGCAAAAAGTTTCTCTGCTTCTTTTGATGTCTTCTATAACTCTAGGACAGGCCCTGATAATATCAGCATTCTTAATACAATTGAATTTCTTGGAACCCTGATTTCCCTCAGTATTTTTTTATGTACATATGACTGATTTTGATATCCCTAATATGTTCTGATATTCATTAAATTTTCTGCTGCAAGCAAGAAAAGAACGTATATCTCTTTTTCAAAGTCATACCTATTACTTTACTGTATGTCAGACAGAGTAGTTACAATTTTCTATACTTTCTTAATTTACTCCAAAACTTTATCAGAAGTAGGACAAACCACCATACAGTTTTTGTCTATTCTCATCTCCCACATTTTTACACTTATGCAATTGCCTTTGTATTTTACAGCAAAATTTCTATGATTCTATTGAGTTCCTTCTGTGTTTCAAATTAATTCTTAATTATTCAGCCACTTAGAACCACTTTTCCTTATTTTATAATTATTACTAAATGGCATACATAGCCATAGGGTTAAATGTGTTTATCTTGGACCACTCCTAATTCCAGCCGTTTCTCCTGACAATTTTCTTCCATTTCACTCCACTAACCACCTTGTGCAACCTTTCAAAAATATGAGGACAATCTCCCATCATCTACATCAAGACAACCAAGCCCTATGTATTTCTCAAAACTACACTGAGAAAGGCCCTCTTTCTTTTAAATACAGTAGAAGTAAATATTTGATCGTACTAATCATAAGGATACTGGTCATTTGACTCCTTTCAAATCAAGCGTATGTAAATAGCTATGCATGTGAGTACACAAGGAAATAACAATTCGAGGAGTTGTCTCTTCTTTCTCCCCTTTTTGATTTAGTATTGGTTAGCCACGGATGCTTTATACCATGGAGCAGCATAACACACTTGGCCATTAGGGAATAAACAGATCACAAGAAGTACACGTTTTGATGTGTATTTCGAAGGAACATATTCCAACTTTCTGCGTAAAAAGAGTGCATAGCAGTTTTGTTGGCTGGGACCTGTGGGGCACATGCAGTTCAGAAGGTCTGCCCTTGGCAGTCTTTCCAAACAACCACCTCTTAAACAATGTGCATAAATCACTCTGCTAGCCTGCCCCAAGCACTCCCTGCCTAGACCTCTTCCACCCTTCTCAGCTTGCATGGCACCAACTTTGAGTTTAGCTCCATTCACTCTAACCTTCCATGCCAGTGCATGTTTATTTTTTAAAAGTAATGTGTGTTAACTAACTTATCCCCCCAAACCTTAGGTTATTCTTTCTAGTGCACTGTGGTATATCAAATGCTGGTAACGACAAGGGCATGAAAACATATAATATCTTCCAATTAGATCTCAAAGGTTATTTTTTAAAGCACAAAAGTTTTTAGAAAAAAAGTGTCAGCTTCCATTGGTTATTATAACGGATGTTCCCTTGTGTCCTTGTGCTGGATCTTGCTGCATCCTTAAGTGAGAAGTCACATCAAAGTGTGATCCATTACAGCCTAGTGAATAGTTTCTAATGGTTTCAGTGTCATATAGATGCTCCAGGGCATATCCAGTTAATGTGTAAGCATGCTTATCAAAGTACTGCCTGTGGGAGCTGTAGTAATTTGGAGAGGCTGCTGGGTGGTCCCCTGGGGTTTGATGAGGGGACATGTCTGAATGCAGGTAGTCTTTAGCTAGTACCAAACTAGATTTTGATATTCGATCAGAATTGGGGCTGCTTATCCTAGACAGTGTTGTGGGGCTGTTGTCATAGTCATTTTCATGTGGGCTCATAATCTTTCCATCTCGTTGCTGGATGTGTTCACAGGGAGGAGTGTTGGCAACCGTCGGGACACGGCAGACATCCCCTGCCAACTGCTGCTGAGGGTAGTTTGCAAAACAGGTAGCGTGCTTCTTCCCTGTGCCATTAATGGAGACCAGTGGATCAGGGGTCGTTTTCCGCAGCTGTAGTCTGTTTTCTTCCTCTTTAATCATTTGCTGGGTGGCTCTTATTAGAGTTTCAATTTTGCTGGGCTCATGCGGACTGCTCTGATATTGCTCAGTACGGTATCGGTCGCCTGATTCACTGGCAGAGCCAGGATCAGGTGAGCTAACGACACTGTCCTCATCCCAGTGTCCTCTCCCTAGGAAAGAGAGAAAGGGGACAAGCATTGAGGTTGAAGGAGGCAAGCAATCTTGAAGAACAAGTACTCTGAACCTTATTTTACAGACCGAAAACCAAGACAGAGGCAAGTGACTTGTAACAAAGTCACCAAAAATGACCATGGTAGACCCCTTGCTTTTCAGTGACAACATCTAGTTTCCAGTGTCTGCACATGGAACAAGTAACACAGCTGAAAACATACAAAGAAGAGATCTAAGCACCTCAACACAGACATCCAGTGCCATCTGAGACACTCTAGGGTAACCAAGCATCTGCATAGGCCCAGCAGGTATGGCACCAACTCTACAGGAACTCTGTGCCTTCTGGAGCAGCTAGAGGCCAGGCAGGGTACCCTAGGGCATGTCAAAGTGCCCTCAACACTGATGTTCAGGCCCCTGACCCCTCACTATCTCTTTGCATCAACAAAGTCTGAGTGAATTGGGACCGTGGTGAAAAAAAAAATCTCAAGGAATTACAAAAGTACATCATTCCGGCATGTCTTCTTAGGCCTTTCCAGGAGCTAAAACGTAGAGACAGCATTGTGGAATAGTTTGTGGCCCTGTAGTGACTTTACACAGGTTACACAACAATAAATAAACACAAGTAATGAAGCAGTTCTTCTTTAGAAGCATAAGAACCCATAGCTGTTAGACAGGATTACTGTAAAAATGTGATGTCATATCCCAACACATAAATATTTGCTGTATAAAACTTTTAGAATGGGAAAATATAACTATATTCTTACCTCTCTTTAAAAAATAAGGCCCATAGACATATCAGAGAAGGTGTTCAGCTTGCATGTAGCTGAAAGGACAGAATCAGACCTGTCAATCCTCACTAGGAAGAAAGTGAGTGACCCCCAAACCTGAACAGCCGACTAAGCCCACACTATAATAAAGGGCTTGATAGAGGATTTGCTGAGATATGTGCCTGCAGGAGGGCACGTGTTGGACTTGCACAAATTACTTAACGATGCCTTTGCCTCAGCACATACAAAGTCCTCTCTGGGGACGAGGCCCGTTGGGTTGGTTTACAGGACTCCTCAAAGGAAACCCATTTTCAGACTAGCACAAGTAGTTCCCCCTGCTCTGTGTTGGGTCAAGGCATACAGATCTGTTTGGGTGGCAGACCACTACCGCTGTGTTGCGGAGTTCATGACAAAAATCAGTGATGGGCTTTTATAATAAACATATCCTGCCATTTGTAGGTGGAAGTACTGCACTGTGGAGTATCTCATCAGCATAAATTTATCCTTCACATCCTCTTAAGATCTGGACCCAAAATGCCAGGGCCTGGAGGTGGAAGGGAGCTCCAGCCACTAAAGCATACGGTACATCAGGCACACCGTGACACACTGGGGAGCTGGCTGGCCGCGGCTCTAAACCCCATGCTCAGTTTGTCTCACTGCACAGACGATATCCGCAGTGCCCCAGACTTCCTGAGTGTGACTGGAAACGCGTGGGCTCATACGCAATATCCAGGGCCTGCTATACTGGTCAGCTAATTGTCATTATCGTAAGGTGACTCTGAGCCAGAACTACCAGAAGATACATTAAAAGAACAGAAAAGGAAGAAAATATTTTCTGCACAAAGAAACTGCTCTGACAGCAATGTTCACACAGTGTTGTCAAAAAGAGTTTCATTTGTGAAAGGCCAAGGTCTGAAACTGCCTAAATCTAAATGAAAATGGCACATTTGCAAGGGAAGCTGAGATGTTCCTTTCCTCAACTAAGACCAAGATGTCAGGTTTTACCCCCAAAGCTACATGCAGACTGAAGGCCTACTGAAACACATAAGACTTGATACAATAAAGAAAATAACTGCAGCACCTGGAATTACAGCAAAACCAAGGAACAAACTAAAATCAAATTATATTTGATTTGATTATCCTTTGCATTGATTATCCTTGATAAAGGTACGGAATAAATATTTAACACTTTTGTATTTGTACCTCCATATCATATTTCTACATTACCATCTTTCTATGCTCAGCAAGAATTATCATACATAACATATGCCAGCAAAATTCTCGTCACTCAATTCTCTTTTCTGGAGAAGAAGCAGCTAGAGAAGCACAAGTATGACAGAAGTACAGAACAGACACAAGGAAGGAGGTGTGTTCTCACAGGAAAAGTGGAGAACAGTCCTCATCAGCAATATTTAGGGCTCCTTTTCTTTCCTCATTTTTCCTCTGACTGTATTTCCTAGAACTTGTTATTTATTCATTTTTCTAATCTCAACATAATTTTCCTCAGGTTGGAGTAAAATAGTAGAGTTCTTTTTGATTTCCAGTCTCGTTCTGTGAGTCAATGGAATGGTACTAGTGTAATTAGGTTTTATGAGTTCTTTAGATACAACCTATGTTTTGACAGATTATTTTAGTAGAAAAGCTTTTTTTTTTATGCTGCATCTATCCTTACAACCTTGAACTCTGACTTTTGGGTCAGTTGCAGTCTTTCAACTCTTAGCCTACCCTTTAAACCCAAGGACCTTTGGATTTTTCCAAATCCAAGATCAGCCTTTCACTGTGGTTTTTTTACTAGTTTCAGCCTCTGAAGATGTGCTAATGCACTGAGTTTGCAACCTGACACCAAGCAAGGCTTCAGGCTTGGTGCTGAAAGGATGGAGAGACTCAAATTGGCTAAAAATTATAGCTGGGGATAAATGTCTGAAACCAAAAGCAAATGTTAATTTGAACTGCCTATTTTAAATAAAAATAAGCAGCAGATCTTACAGAATCTAGTAGTAACCATTGCAGAGAAAAAAGTCATTTGGAGAACAATTTCTCCAAAATCTTTAAAGATCTTTTAATATCTAGCTTGGATTTAGCTCTAATTTTTTGCTGAATATATTCCATCGAAAGTAGCGTGATCTTAAGTCAAATAAATAACACATTTCTATCAAGTGTATCATTTTGTTTATATTTTTAAGATCATTCTTAAAATCTCACCAGTCAGATATTTCCACCTTAATTTCACAGATTAAAAAATATACAACAAAATTATATTTTGCTGCATATAAGCCAGACTGTCAAACTCAACTTGAATTTTAAGTAATCCTCATCTCCACAGATGTGATCTCTGAGACAAGGACATACACTAAGAGTCTCTCTCATTTTCTGTCTCTCACATACACGTGTCATGTTGCTTTATCTGAGACGGTGCCACTTCTGCAAATCCTTGTTATCTCTTACCATGAATCCTGTGCACCGACGTTATGTGGGGCATACTGTTTTCATACGCTTCTCTGCTCTCAGGGGATGATTTAGTCAGGGGCAATGCTGAACGAGAACCCCACCAGCTCTCCCTTCCCGGCTGCGGCGTGCCAAGGAAATACCGGCCAGCTTCACATCTGCCTCCTTCACAGGCCTGAGTATGGAAATGTCTGTCATCAGTCAGCCTGGAGTGGTCGAGTGCAAAACCGTAGCAGAGAGCACTGCGGTCTGAGTACTGTCTGTAGGCACAGGAGACATCGTGGTGCTGGGAGCTCGGTCTGTCCGCGGGCTCCAGTAGCTGGGGAGAAGCTGTATCGGTCAGGGGGCTCCCGCCCCACTGGCTTTCATGGTCAGACTCAGATCTCTCAGTGTGGAATCCAGAATACTGCAAAACAGGAGAAGCAGGGGGGAAATTACTATGTCTGGGTGAAATCTGCAAGTAACTGCACTGAAAAGACAGAGTATCTATGTGATGGGGTGTTTTTTGTGAGCGTGCCCACACGTCTGCACCTTCTGATTGGACCCCGAGTCCTTTCCAGTACAACACTCTGTAATGAGCTCACAGATGACAGGACAGACCTCGTGAAAGTCTAAAACATCCATGTCGACCTTTAATAGCCATCTCCTTTATGATGTGTAACATTAGGCTCAGCAACATCAATGTTGCAATCAATATTTTTTTAATATGCCCAGGTTTTTCTTATACCTTTGAAAGCTAGTGTTTATGCTCAGCAATGGTGCCCCAGCGCTCCTCGGCAAAACGCTTTCAAAAGGGACTGAAATAACACCGCTCCCAGAGCATTCTCGCATGTCACATTGAAACTGAATGTGTTTGCAAGTTCTTTTTCTAAGGATTCCCTCTCTTTTCCTCATATTTTGTTTGTTGTTGGATTTTTTTTCTTACCTGGAGTGGTATCTTGGAACTTCTTTCCTCCTATTAGTAGGGAAAAGAAAGCCTCCGGTAGATCCTGGGACTAGCAACTCTACTACAGAGTAAAGCTCCAAGTGGTGGCAGATCGGTAGGAAGCTAAAAATCACAGCTTTGTTGCAATGTGGGAACAAGGAAAATCCAGCACCTATTTGCCAGAAAAGGCAACCTCTAGCCCAAGCAGGCAGGGCGGGCATTTGGCAGCCTCACTTAAGCAGGGCCCTCCCAACACAGAAGCAGCAGCTAGCAGGCAGTTGGAAAAGCAGACAATGTGGGAAAGGAAAATCCAGCACCTATTTGCCAGAAAAGGCAACCTCTAGCCCAAGCAGGCAGGGCGGGCATTTGGCAGCCTCACTTAAGCAGGGCCCTCCCAACACAGAAGCAGCAGCTAGCAGGCAGTTGGAAAAGCAGACAGAATAGGAGCATGGGCTTTTGTTCAGAGAGAAGTAAGGGTTAAGTTAAATGTCACAGATTTCTACGTATTCTTAATGAATGTTTCAAACTTTTAGATACTTTCTGGGAAAGAAAAAATAAATGCTTATTAAACATCCTAGGATTTAGCTATCTCATTTTTAAATCTTTTCATTTATTGGAACTGTCGAACTTCATGGAACACCTTTAAATCAGTTTCACCCGTGATTACAGATCGGGATGAGACCAAAGCTGCACATGCTCACCTCTTCAGTACTGCACACTCATATCACAAATCAACATACTACGACATGAAACCTTGGAATTCTCCCATTCCATCACTCACCTTCCAGATGCCCACACTGCCTTTTCTTTTAATAGGCATTAGGCCTCTCTCCTGAAAACATAAGCTTACCTTCCTTTTCATTAGATTGAGTTGCTATGAAACTCCTCATTATCAGCCAGGATCAAGGTTTTATGCACTTACCAATCGAAAGTACTGACCAGATGTTTGACTTCCAGAAACTTAAACCATCTGTGCAACATTGGTAGTGGTTTTGGCATTTAATTGGGTATTCTTCAGTATTGCAGTTTATATTTGTGAATACTGTTTGTTAACACGATAGGTTATTTAAAGGAAAGAAAGAAAGGGTCATGGCTTTAAGGAGCTCGATTATATTTTGTTATTAGTTGTCAGAAGAATACCCATAGGCAAAAAGCCTACCAGTAGATATGGAGGAGGTCAGCAAGTTAGTACCACCATATTCATCGCAAGGTTAGAGAGATGAAAGGATAAATCTGATTTTGCATGGAGGTAAGACAGTTACAGAGGCACAAAAGAATTCTTTTAAATGCCATTGACTCAACATACATTAACTAGGAACTTTTTTCAGCCATCACAGTGTTATGTGACCAACAGAAACATCTCAGTCTTCTATTATCCTTTCAGATCTAATGTCTTCCAACTGCTTAGTCACAAAGATATCTTCATAAATACCGACGGAATTTAAAATTGTTTCCAATAAAAAAATAGAAATTATTAACAAGATTTTGACTATTAATTTTTAGTTAAAATGGAAGTTCACAAAAGGAAAACTACTTTTGTACCTGTTCTTAATTTTAGAATTATTTTTAGCACTCTTTTTGGATTTGATTTTTATAAACTAGATTTTTTAATTTAAAAAGTTAAGCTGAACTATAAGATAATATAAGCATAAATGTAAGTATAAAAAAGTTAAAAGTTTGTTTATTTCCTTATTAAAACCAAAACTCATAATACGTATTTCTTTCATGAGGAGGACAAGGAAAAATAATTTCTAATAATATTATAATGAAGTTTCATTTTTTGGACAATTTATGATGATAATAAATGCCAGAGATTCTTTCAAACTGAAAATTCTTAATTTCATTTAGCTCTAATAGATATTCTTCTATTAGTTCTCTGTTTCTAAGGACACCTCAGGGCCCAACATAGCTTCTCTTGAAGGGAATTTCTCCATTTACCTGAAAACTTGCTCGGGGTTTTTTTTTTTATCTTGAACCTAACCACAAAGGATTCAGTTGCACAGGCCTTCGTGCACTTTTCTTAAAGAAAGGGAAACCATTTCAAAGGGTATATGTTCAGTATATCAGAAATGTACCATGTAATGTCATATAACCATGTAGTCAAGACCAACAATACTTCATGCATATTCTTTGTACTTGATGTAAATGATGATTATTTGAGATCTGACCCGCAGCAGCTGCTAGGCCACGGACAGAATTAAATTAACACAGTGAATTGCTTGTGGCCAACATTGTCTACCAAGTTTTGATATGACTGCTTATTCTTAAGGTACTAATAAGCAGACATAGGCCAAAAATATGTCTAATTCCCTTTAAAGCTAATCATATCTCTATTTGGCATCGTCAGGCTGCCTCTACCACTGCAGTCCTACCGCTACCTCTTCTGGGAATCTGATGTTGACAGGTGGAGACTCCAAATACGGGCATGTGTGACATGTTGACGGGGGGAGAAATGAAAGGATGATCAAAGATACTGCTTTACTGAAATGGGAGTGGAAACACTATCTCTCAAGTCAGAATTAGGCTCCCGTATGTCAAGTGATGAAAGACCATAGAACATGGAATCAGATTTAATGAAAATTATGGCCAATTAAAATTAGTGAAAATAATTTTTTTTTCCAACCCCAGTCCTGCCTCACCAGAAATGTTTTCCTTTCTGCTAATTTTTGCCTTCTGACTCCTATGAGGCAGATTTTATTATTTTTGGGTTTTTTTACAAAGTTTAACCAGCAGACAGAAGTTAAACATGATAAAGAACTTCAGACAGGCAACATCTGAAATCCCGTCAGGTGATTTCTGAATTGTCTTCTGGTATAAACAACAACAATAAATAAATTAAATGGTCCTCCAGCTGGATTCTGGAAACTGAATTGCCACCTCTGGATACTAGAAATGTCTTCCAGAGTGCTAATCCAGTGTACCATCGCAGCGAGAGCACACCAGTGGGATTAGCACTGACATATAAAGGGGCTATAGGCCATCACTGATGTTATTTTCACTCCAAGAAAAACTTCGGGAGGGCTGAAGGGGCAAAAAAATAGGAAAATATAAATTCCATGTCTAAGAAAAGCTTACTTTACGACAGTCCATGGAAGTGTATTAGGCCAGTAGACAATTTATTATTTCTCAGGTGATTTTCTCTTGCCTGACCTTCCATTCCTACAGGTGTCTCACTGGCCTGAGCACTCATCCTGTCATATGCAGCAACATCAGCCTGCTCCACACACCATGCCAGATGTTCGAACAATAGAAGTTATAGATACCTAATTTTCTGGCAGCCTAGTCAGGTTTTTATCATTATAGACATTAAATATATAGTGAAACCCTCTCAGAGTCCTTTTTTCCATGAAAAACTTTCACTACATCAGCATTAGCAGCTTTCCTCTTGATTTGTGTCTTAACCATGAGAAAAAACATCACAGATGCGGGCTGCATTGTACTAAGAACATATGCATGCTTTTAAATCACTTTTATCTTACTTTTTACTAATGTAATCCTGAAATGTAAAATATGTTCTTTTTGCATTCACTATTATAGGCAGAACAGATGGTGAAAGGCTTAGATTAAAGTAATACAGCATGTCCATTAAAATAACCCCCAATGCTGGTGACTCTTCACCAGATCAGGAGTTATGTTTACTATAAAAAGAGGGGTTTGCTTTGCTTTTGAATACGCTGGAAGTTGCCAAACTTTAGGCTACAGGAAGAAATGAAAAAACAACAACAACAGAAAAAGGCTGACTAGAATTCAGCCCGATTCTGTTATCTTTACCCCATTGGGTGATATGCCCAAATAGAGGTGGACTGCAGAATTAATCCAGATTATCTGTTTAAAAGAGCTATAAAATCAATTTACCTCCAAAATCAGGTGTATTAATACACACCTACTAGAGTCGGCTCTTACTTCCAAAAAGTCATGTATGCTGTAACACACACCAAAGCTTCCATCCAACAGCTCTTGGGTACCTCCTTACTTGTACGCGTGCATTCGTTTTAGATATATATATATAATCTTTATCCAAGAACTAAGATGCGATATGAAGCAATAAACGTTTATCCAGATCTGACCATAAAACATTTCCATTAGAGGCAGACAACAGACAATTTTAAATATTTTCTTTAAACAATCATCATTTATGGAAGATTAAACTCCAAAGCAGTTGTTCAGATGATCACAATTAAAATGTTTTTCTAATCTTGTTGCTATTTCCTGTGTACAGAATAAATGAGGCCCAGGGCTAGATTTTGGGAGCCACTCACAATGATTATTATTATAGGGGAAGACTATAGGCATCTTTTAACCAACTCACAATGTCCTTTTTCTGTAAATCTCTACCAAGTCTTCATTGCTCCTGTTTTTTTGCCAACTCTTTCAGCTCTCCACCTCTCTGGTAGGACAGGACTAGAAGACCACTGTTCAAAGTGCCTGGGCAAATCCTACAACTGTGTCATGAATTTTGGGTTGCTCTCCTCTCTGCTTGCCCTTCCCCTGCCTGGGGCTGGTTTCACAGAACCCACTAGACTAGTGCTAACGTCAGTCAGTGTTAATCAGATGCTGACCAATGCCTCCAATTTAATGAACTCGGTTTTTGCTTAAAGAGTCTACAAGCACCATATTACACTATGTCTGCTTTTGCATAAGATTTGAGGAAAAAAACATTAACACTGTCTTAGGTGACCAAAATATCCACCTTTTGCCCTAGTAGTAAACATTCAGCTGAAATTTATTAACATGGTTTTCGTACAGTTCACATCTCATGCAAAAGGTGTGCCCTTATCCTAGGGGCACACAGCTGGCAAGGGAGAGGATTCTCAGTCGTCACCCAATAAAGCATATGATTCCCTTTTCTCTTCAAGAGTGAAGCAAAGTAAATGGTAAGGGGAAAAGAAAAAAAAAAAAAGAGAGAAATAAAAAAGGAAAGAAATTATGTACATTTAAAATCTCCTAGGCGCCCTTAAGAAATACTTTGCCCACTGCCATTATTTTACTAATAAACTTCCTGCTTCCTTCCTCCACCAAAACCCAGGCTCCTGTGTAAGCCAAAACCCATGACCTCACTTTTCAGCCGTGGCTTTTGAGTCACACTAATTCTCCGCAACTGACTGGCAAATTACGTGGGCTGGAGACTGAGGGACACAGGCCATACCACCTGCTGCATGTTCTTCACAACAGCTTTTCTTAGTCTTTCAACAGTTTATTCAGTGGTGGAGAAGGATGAGAGGGATGCAAAGCCAAGCTGCCAGCGTTGCTTGTGGTGATGTTCTACAATGAACGGTATGACCATTTTTCAAGTTATTGGCAACTAGCACGGCTGCTTCTTTTTGAATGATGAAATCTGTGACTTTACTACCAGGCAGCTGGTAATGAGGTTGCAAAATGAAACTGGAGACTAAGCATCCTGAGCTTTCAGACAACAATCCCTGATAAACCAACAGTCTCAATGCTGCACTGCTAATTCAGGATTTTTTCTGGTGGCAGAGAGAATAAGGAGGTACTGATGAAAGTCACACTTTCAGAAAGCAAATTGATGTGGGAGGATAACAGGTCTTCAGCTGGGATTGTCCTGCTAGCAAATGAGGACTTCTGAAAGGACCGTGTAACAGCAGATGAAGGGTAATTTCAGTAAATCAAAGATAGTCATCTTAAAAAATCTAATTTAGAAATAATTGTAGGTATCTTTCCTGATTCTTTATAGTTATATTACTATTGTTTGTTTTAGTGCATTCAAGAGAAAGACTCTTCTGTAACAACCCACAGAAATGCATGTGAACAAATGATTAAACAACAAGAGCCATAACAACCTCTGGCAAAATTAGATTCTTAAAATTAAGACTCTGAATTCGTATCTAGCCGCTCGGTTAAATATTTCCTGTGCCAAAAGCAGATGTCATTTAACTGAAATTCTTACCATTGGTTCTTTTGAGGGGAAAAAGAAAGAAAACAAGGAAGTGATGTAGACACTTGGGCTCACATTGTACACTCTTAGCGGTCAGCTTAGAAAACATTGTGCCTGCAGAGAAACTGTAGTCATCAAGGTCATTATCAGTTAAATATTGACCCGGACTTTTTAAAAATACATAGCTCTTCAATGTGACATCATGAATGCATACATTTATACCCACTGTGTGGTGGCATAAGGGCAGTAAGACTTGCATCACTATTTAGTAAACATAATGGCTATTTTGACAAACAGATTTATTTGAGCTAAAGGGTTGGCAATGTAAGTATGCAAGTGCTGTGGCATTGTCTGCAGAAATCAGTTGCATAAATGCATTAGGTAAGCTCCAGTTCAGAGGCCCAATCAAGTGTGGTCCATTCTCCAAGCGGGGGCATGTTCCTTACACATTAGGCCTGAAAATGAAATCTGGGAAATTAAAGTCTACTGATGCCAGTGGCCACCTCCTAGCGCTTTCTTTCTTTCAAAACTTTGTACATAGAAAATCTTTCTTGTTCCAGTTCAGCAAGTTAGCTTGTTGCTTTCCCTCCTCAAAACTCAACCCTCCTGACTAAGATTTCAGTATTAAACTGCTGTGAAACATCTGGCAGCTTTCTAGATATGTTGGAATTATTAAAGAGCAAGTAAGAAAAAGCAAGCTTTCTCAAATGGCAAAACTCACAATCCTCTCAAACCAAGTATTTCAAAACCAACGTTTTCACTTGTCCTTCTGTCCGCTCCTCATTCTCTGAGCCCTGCACTGTTATTGTTGTTGATGATGATTTATTATGCATGCTGAAACATAAATGTTTCCAGCTTTTTAGAAACAGTTTAAAGAAACATATTCCTGTCTCGAGATCTTATAACCTGTTGTCCTTTATTCCCTTTCAGTAACATGTTCTTTGGCCCATTCTAATTGCTTGGGTAAAATAGCAGTCAAAATCAAGATATTCAAAAAGATTTAATTGTGTTTTTCAAAGACAACTACCTGTGGGTATGGTGATGTCCTTGATTTTGACTTTGTGCTCGAGAGGTGAGATTTGCTTCCCTTTCTATTATCCGTTATGGTCGGAGTTGAATTTGCGTATGAGAATGCCGGCTTGGTAGCAGTGACCTGATCCAGGGAGAGCTGTAGTCCTTTATATTCAGTATCCCTATATAAAAGGCAAAAGTGAAAAACAAACTCACTTCGTATCTTAATGGGAAACATTCCTTCCTTCTTAGCGGGGGGTGGAAACAAAAGATATTTTTAAGGAAAAAGAATAAAACCATCCAGGGCAAGCCAGTATATCCCCCTAATACACTTAAGTAGTATAGCTTACTAAACAATAACACTATTTTTGTACTGAAAATGTGATTGCTTTTTGCATCCAACTGTTATCATCCTGATCTATTTTCTTCAGTAAAAAAAACCAATGGGATGGAAATTTCTGAGATTTATATTACAGTTCTGCATTGGTCACATAGCTAAGCAGTAAATAGGATACATTTTCCTCAAAATTCTTTTAACTGTACAACTACAAACTTACCACGTGTGTATATGTGTGTGTGTTCATGCATGTGTGGGGGTGCACATAACAGCCTACATAGATGACTAAATAAATTGAACAAATTAATTTTTTTATGGAAAACACTTCATCTTTAAGGTTATATTTTTCATTGTTTACAAGGTTTCAGGCAATTAGTGCAAATTTTTGAATTTTTCTTCTTCTATGGCTATTGTGAGGGTTTATTCCTCTGTTTGAAGTTTCTTTTACTGAAAGAGTTTATCAGTCAGAGAAAACAGCTAAATAAATACAAATCTTGTGATTTAAATGGGCTGTCCCCCACTCACAAAACACTAGAGGTTTTCTATGGGGAGCTAGATATAATGGCAGTTTGTGAAGTTCGGTGTTAGTTTCTTCAAACTTTCTAATGAGTACATAAGGAAAACTGGCATTATTCACAATGTCTTACTAAGCGTAACGAGGGCATGTGCATTGGACTGCACCCCTCTGCACACATCTGCACGTCTGCTGATACCCGGGGAAGTATTTCATGTAGTCATACGGAACCTATTTTGACAATGATTTATTAAAAGAGAGCGAAGCAAGAGTTTCTTCCTGACCTACCTACCTGGAGGAAAAGAGGAAGGATTCATGGCTTTTCTCTTCCTTTATGTTAATCAGCAGAGAAGTAGGAGAGCAAGGGAAGAATAATGCTTCTCTTATGCAGTCAAGGAGGCAACATATTCATTCACACATTACCCCAAGCTCCATCTAAACCTAAAGACTTATCCTTAATGAATTATATTAATAATAAGTTGTTCACTCAGCTTTAGCAACAATATCTTGCTCTATAATCACACATATATCGATGTAAGCTGTGACAGTCTAACATTTTTTAGAAAGGAACTGCACCACAACCTGAGCATATCACAGCTTAGTACACTGAAATGCTTTCAGATAAAAGTCGGGGCGGAAGGATAAATTTGATAAATCACTGAGATAAATGAAACAGGATGAATCTTTGAACAGCCACAGATAAACCTGCAGAACAGACAAATTAATTCATGCCAGTTCTAGACTAAAATTCTTTTGCATCTAATAAACAACAAACTTGTTGGTTGAAGAGGCTTAGGTTTTTTGGCATTGCAGGCAATGTGTATGTATCCATGTATGTATAACACATGAAAACGAATCACTGACGTTAGAACTGTGCTGACTCCACTGTTTCCAGTCTATAGCAGACAGAGATTGGCCAAGTATAATTAATGTTTTGTAATGCGAAATTACTTCTTAATGAGATCATTTCTTCAAATTTTGGCTTTAGTAGAGATAGGTCTCTGCTATAATATTTGCATTTCAAATATCCTGCCTGCAGTGAAAGCATCTGAATATAGGGGTTTGCTTTGGCCTGTTTGACAGGTAACGCTCATTCACATATTTTGAAACCATTAGTCTTTCCTGTGGTTACCCTCAGAATTTCCATCCAGACACCTTGTCTTGACATGCAAAACATCTGTCTCCATAATTGAGTCCTACCAAATTATCTTTATGTTATACGAAACATCAGAAACAAAGGATGTCAATAAATCTTCATATTCAACTACTACAGTAGCATGAGATATTATCAATAGTCCTGAAAAAAAACTATATCAGTCTCATCCTGATATACACATTCCCCCTGACTATTTGATTATAAGGAAAGGAAGGGTCCTGTGGTCTCAGTGTCAGATGCAGAAAGTGTTGCTTCCAGAAATAAAAATTAATCAAAACTAAGTAGATAAGTTGTCCGCAGCCTTAGGGATATGAGGAGGTTCTGGTTTGATTTTGAACCTACCAACCCTTTTGCCTCCCTTTTTGCTGGAGAACCCATAGCGCTACACTCCTGCCATTACCTCCCCATCTCTGGCGTATGCCACCCTGTAACAGTCTGCTGCTTTCTCTCGTCAGTGGAAGAGTTTTAAAAAATTGGACGAAACACCACCACGGTATTCAGGCCACAGACTGTCACTCCAACACTACTTGCCTGCTGTTACGATCTGTGTAAGGGCCAAGCATTCAAAGCACAGAGACGACACTGTACAATGCTTCTGGGTCATGGGAATCTAAAAAAAAACAGGCAAACCAGGCTGCCCAAAACCTTGCATGCTATTATATGTTACTTTTCTAAGTCCTTGGTATCGTTATGGTGAGGAGTCACCCTCCCAGAACACCACACATTAGAATAAACACCACAAATTGGTGTTTGCAGCTAATTGCTTAGACAGTAACATCATTAAACAAAGGATAAGAAGAAAACTATCTGAAGTTCTTGCTGCCAAATGCAAAGTTTCCCTTTAGAAAAAGAACACATCTGCGCTTTCCTTGCAGATGAAACACCTGGACTTTTTTGCATCACCGAGGCATGATTCAATACCATCTCAACCCTATCCTAGCACAGATACCCTTCAGAAGAGCCAAGATAGACACCAGAACACCAATAGTAACAGGCCAAGATAAATACCAGAAGTTTAAAAAAAAAAAAAAAAAGGAAAGAAAACATGAAGGAAGGGTCCTATGGTCTCAATGTCAGATGCAGAAGATATTCCACCAAGAAATAAGAACGTTTGAGTATATCCATATGCACTGTGAGGCAAAGGACTAGACAAACCAGGGCTCCTAGTGGTACACAAGCTACACATGGAAATTCTGACAGCTTCCTGGAGGAATTTATAAAACTTCCGCCAACCATGGAACTGTAATCTCCAGATTCCTGTTTTCAGACATCTGAATCCCCTATTACACAGTCCCATCAACACACTAGTACTGCATCTTGTGTTCTACACGTAATTCAAAAAAAGGTGTTGGATACGAGCCTCTTCCTCCAAGGTCCTCACCTTCAGGATCCGACAGGGATCCATACAATCTACATCTATCTACATGAGACTGCTGAGAGAGAGAGTGATATGGCATGTGTTCAATTGCTAACAGTATGTTGCTGACAATCTACTATTTATCTCATTTTCTGATGCAACTATCATCACTATAAAACATCAGAATAACTACAGGAAATTAGCTCTTAAATGAAGAACAGATGGATCAAACTGAATCCAGACAAGACCAAAGTGATGCTTCTTTGCAAAGGGAAACACATTGAAGACCTCCACCTTTTCATGATGGGAAACAGACATTCTTTCCACAGTTGGATGGAAATTCTAGGTCCTCTCTGACTCCTCAAAAAACTTGGATGCATATGCTTTTGGTAGCATATGCTTCCAAAAATGTATTATTTCTCCTCTATCTTGTCCCTCCCCCCATATGAGAATCCGACCAGTATGGTCAATGTATCAGGCACCTACAGACTGGATTATCATGCTTCACTGTAAGCGAAATCAGAAGACAAAGCGTAAAATCCTCTTGCTACAAGATGCTGCTTCCCTTTTTCTTCTCAGATCTAACTCCCAGAAGCATTACCACTCTGTGCCATGTCTCTGGCTCTTCCAATGCCCATTATAAAGCTTGAGCCTAATTTTGAAAGCACTTATTGATGTACTGAACTAGCATCATGAAAAATCAAGGATTGATGGCTGTACCAACTGCACTTCTCTGCAATAAAGCATCTGAAAGTTGAGTACAAAGCATTCTTTACTAAAGGCATCTAGCTATAGCAAGCTGCAGAAATGGAGAAGGACAAAGGCTGAAGCAGAAAAGTGTTTGGAAGAGGAAACCCAATCTGTTTGCATATGCCAGCTGGATCTGCAACACTTGTGTGAAGAGTTCTCACAATTCAGCTTTAGAAGACACTTTCTTCCTACTCACATTGCCAAAATGTACAATATGAAACATGATGGCAACAGTCTGTCTAATGAAAGTTTGAGGAAGAGATAATGACTTATTAGCAGATAGACCCAAAAAAGAACAGTAAGGAAGTATCGGAGCACCACAAAACCTGAATTCTCAGCAAACAACAGAGCTTGCACAAATATGGCAACTGAGCGTGTGGATAGAGCTCACCATGAAACTGAAAAAAATGAGAGGGTTTTTTATATGGCCTTTTTGAAGGAAAAAAGATGAGGAAAGGGTGAGTCAGCATTGCTAGAAATAATGTTGGGAAGACTGGAATTAGTGACAGAGGCACAGTACGGCCCAAGACAAACTAAAACTGTACAGACAAGCTGGGCTTTTTTGTAGTTGTGTTTCTTCAAGTATAGGGTGAAGTTTGGGACTACTTTAACCAAAATCTAAAAACTAAAGTGAGACTAGACATTAACATTAGAGAGCTAAAGGCACAAATAGTTTTGAAGATATTAAGATTCCCTACTTAAAGACAATGTTGGCTATGAACAGAAGAGAACTTAAGCCCTGAAAAATGCTTTCAAATAGAAAGAGCAGCTCAACAGGATGTATCCAAAGGAAGGAGTAAAATAACGACATCCATTAGTGAAGAATAAATATCCAGATTCAACCAAAAGAACTTAAGAAGGACAACCAGACTCAAGAATAGAGATCTTATATATCTACAGTCATAAGCATCAAAACCTTCAAAACAAGAAGAAAACCTTCAAAAAAGAAGAAAAAATGCTCAGCCCATGGAAAACTCTGCAAAAGTCATAGGAAAAAGCATCTTTTTATGTTAATGCTACAACATGCCAGAAAGGAAGAATAAGCTATACATGCAGTGACCGAGAATACTCAGATAACCAACAAAGAGGCAGATATTTTACAGTGTATTTAATTCCATCAAAAGATGCTAAATTTAGGCACCTTAAGACGCACACAATTCAGTTTTCATACGTGGAGTTACAGCATTGAATTAGAAATGCATTTAAGTTCATTCTCTCCAGCAGCAATCAAAATACCAGTATACAACCAGAAACAGATCTTAGGTATCCTTCAGTTGAGAGTCTGAACAATATGCAATGATCATACTGTCACTGGAAATCACAGGAAATAAAGAATAAAAAGACATCATGTGACCACCTAAACCTGACAAACACTGGATAACGTACACCCATGTCATTCCGTACACATATTAAAGTAATTGATGAAGTACAAGCTGAAAGTAAAAGCATTAGATGATCTTAATGCAGCAGGTTCCTATATCACGGGTACAATCATTCACACGACTGAAGCAAAGTGGAAAACATTGTTCATGCAAAAGAGAACAAGGTGTAATTTTAATTGGTTGCGCTGTTGTTTCTATTGAACACATAATATATGTTCATCATTTCCTCTAGTTTTACATGAAAAATCTATGAAAAGGGTCATATGCACTCTGCATTTCTTTTAGTTAAAAATCAGAAAAATTATATTTGTCAGATTTTCTGCCAGTCTAACAGAACACAGAATAGAAATTGTGAGATTAAACTAAAGGTGTTAATGTCATTAATGTGCAGTCTATTTTGCTGAGTTACTGCAATTCAGTTAAAATCAGCCATGAAGGTGGTAAAAGTCTGGCATGTCTGACCACAATACTGTAATATATCATTCTTCTACTTTTAAACAATGCCTGCAACTTTTAACATTTCCACACTCCGGCTCATGCAATGCTAACAGGGCGCCATTCAGCAGATGAGTGAAAAGAGAACAGA